AAGATTATGGAATTCGATGAAATTGAAAGAGGTGAAAGAGGTGATTTTCTTTTTCTTTCAATAAGTCTCTGTTTGGGTGAAAGAGGGCTGTTGTTTGAAAGGCAATCCATTGTCATTGAGAGGTAATACCACAGTAGTTCGGTACTAGCGTCAAATATGCATTTAAGGTTTCTGCCAATAGTTTGCTTTTCTCGAAATTAGCATTTAACTGAGCGTATGTTCGTGTTAAAAGTTCTTGAAAGTTGATCCAAAAATCTAAACGTTGATCTAAAAAAACAATGGAATGAGATCAGAGATGGTGATCAAGCTGATTTTGGCTGATCAAGGGGTGCTCTTGAAATTCAAACGAACTATTTGCTCCAAGAAATATTTGCCAGACTTTTTTGTGCGCATCGGAAATATCAAGGATTACCTGACCTATAGCGAAAGATCATTACCGTATGTGAGAATGGGGATGATTTTGAAGTTTGTCACCCCATAGTTTCAATCATTCAAATTCTTTCCTCTCATAGTCTTATCTAAATTTTGTTCTTTAAGAGAGACAGGTCGCAGATGTGTTTTCTCGGATCCTTTGTGCTCGAAATTTTCTAAAGGAAAGAGTTTTGGTGGGATGAGTCCCTCTTCTTCTTGAGGAGTCCTCTTCTTCTTGAGTCCTCCTCCTCTTCTCTCCTCCCCTTCTCTTCCCTGTGATTCATTCCATTTCCCCAAAAATTTCTTGTCCCAATACAACAAAAGTCGTCCCCAAATCACCCAATACAATAACATTTTCTTTCCAAGAACTCCCTGGGAAAACATTTGCCTGAAAATTTGAATCCCTCAAGACTTACTTTGGCAAAACGAGCTTCAAATAGTTTTTCAGGCCCTCAGTTGTTAAACCTTTGCAACAAACTTTTTCCATAAGCATTCCTAATCCTTGAAACTTTAGTTGCTTTGCATTTTTTTCCTTTTTGTGCATGGCAAAACTTTCGAGATATCCAGTCACTCAAGTAGACTTTTCTTTGTCTCAAAAAAAAACCCACACAACGATGGCTTTGATTCATCGGTTGACCTTTTAAAAAAAATTCTCCCGAATGTTTCTTTCTGCTTGACGTGAGCTTTGGAGAGTGACTTATCCCCACCACAAGAAGACAGTCTGCAAAAAAGTTGGCAACTGTCTTAGTTAAAAAACGGACTTGGTTTCCCTTGATTCCTGGCAATGTCTAGGTAGGTCAAAGCTTGGCTTAAAATGGATCTAGTTTCCTGTAGAGTATTACACTTTCTTGGTATTGCAAAACGAAATAATCCACTCATTGTCAAATTGAAGATTTTGTGGTCAATCAGAAGAGATTTTTGTGCGGGAGAGGAGGCCTTGAAAAATTTGAATCCCGGGCGCGAATTGGAGAAATTTCGGAGAGTCTTTGTCTTTGCGGGAACTGAATGAAGAGAGAGAGAGAGGCTGAGACTGGGACGAGTGATCGGTGGGGGACATCCCCTTCCCCATTCAACCACAACTCACCCACCCCTCCATTGGCCCCGTTGATGACAGCTGTTCTTCTCGTCCATTACCCAATCTACCAAAATCTCTTCTTGTTCTCCTTTTTCTTCATTCTTCTTGAATTCCCATCAACAAACCCCACACAAACCCAGATTCTAAAAGGGTTTTAAGTTTATCTTTCAAAAACCCATTCAGGTCTACCTGTGCGCTTTCAAATCTCACCTAGCTCAAGAATTTCTTTGTCTCCGCCTACCGTACCCCTCACTTGTCTGCACTCGGCCCTTTCCACTTTCCTTTGTATGCAAATGATGTGGTCCCATTGCTCTTCCCTTTCTCGTGTCTTTCATTAGACTCAATTTTCTTTTCTTTCAATAATTTCATAATCTTTTACCACTTTCTTATAGTGTCTTTTCAGGGTGATGCTCCCCGGCGGAGCTTTTCCGCCACTTTTCTCGGCCGCTCTCATGCAACAATTCCCTACCCTACAGCAGGTAAATCACATAATTAACCAAAATAATATCAGAATATTCAAAAAAAGCCTTAATTTAGTTCCAATCTCAATTGGCTTGTCTTCAACAGCAATCCGGATCTCCTTTGACTCCATTGAGAAAAACGAGAGTCGGCGGGAGTAGTGTCAAAACGGCTAAGGTTAGTTTTCACAAAAATTTGTTTTCTGTTCTAATCTTCTAATCATGATTTTCAGGTTTGGAAATATTTCGATCAATTGCCCGTCGAAGAACAAGCAGCCGAATGTCAACTATGTCGAAAGAAAATCAAAGCGACAAATAGCAGGTACGGTAATTTAAGAAAATCAACTGAATAAATTCAGTTGATTTCCTTTTCAATGTTTTCCTCTTTTAGCACAACCGGCATGATTCGTCATTTGCGGAGTTGTCACGTGGCTGAATATCAATTGTTACAAGAAGCTCGTCAAACAGGAATTCCATGCAAATTTGGTGAGTTTAAAAAGCTTTGCAATTTTTATAGTAAGTTCTAAGGAAAGTTCACTCGCAGATACGAAAAACTTGTCAATGATCAAGTTCTAAAAGTCAAATATAGCTCCAAAATTCCATCAATAACCCAGTGACTTTCAGAAGAGAAACGGATGTCTTCAGTGAAAGATGGGCATCCAGCCGTTGTTGTCGGCACTCCAACATCAATTGTTCATCAACAAAAATCTCCATCATCACTCTCGTCTGCTTCCGACACAACTTCATCCATTTCAACTACCGCTTCTCCACCATTTCACTCACTTTCAACTCTTGCATCCACTGGTGAGTTTTCTATTCATACACTAACCTTTATTTCTTTCAACCTTCCATTATTGAGTTTAAGCTATTTGATCACTTACAAAATTATATCTTTAATTGTCTACTATGCATTCAACTCCTCTTGTGTACACCTTTTCTTTTTCAGTGTCTCCTCTTGTCCCTCCACTCGGTCTCCCGGCTCCCAAAGCCATCATTCCGAATGCAGCAAAACGGGTCGAGCAATTAACAGAAGCTGAAGAAGAGGTCAGTTTATCTTTCTCTTTTTCCATTCATTCATCACTTTTGCAGGAAGAGGCCACTGATTTGCGAACGAAATCGTCGACTCCTTCAAATGGTCCGACCGCTTTTTCAATTGTTCGCTCGACATTTCCCGGTAGAAAGTAGCATAAATAAAGAAATAAAGTTTTTTTCAGAAACCTCCAAATCCGAATCAATCTATGTTAATTCGAGTCTCGATTCGGTGAAACTTCACACGCAAGTAAGTTCATTCGAAAAGTTTATCTTAATCCTGCCCTATTTTGATCTTGGATCTTATATCGTTCTTTTTTTAGGTTGCAATGATGATTCTTTTGGATGGACAACCGGCAAATATCGTTGATCGACCTGGTTTTCGTGGTCTTTTGAGGTAAATTAGTGAATTGGGTAAAAAGAATCAAACACATCATTCCAGATTGCTTCTCCCAATGCACACTTTGCCGTCTTCAGATCGCTTCGATTCGGATATCATTCCCTCAACTCTCACACAACTCAGACACGAATTGGCTCAACAATTCTTGATCAACAAGTATCGAATTGCACTAATTTCCTTGAATATCTTTTTATCTATTCAGCCCCCATAGCCCACTCGCAACTCTCGCCGGTCTCTCGGCTCTCCATCACAATGCAACGCCTCTCGATATGACGATCAAAGAGGTAAATAGACAGTAATGCCTTATTTTAAAATAGTTTACTTGAAAGGAAGATACTTAAATTATAAAAACTTAGGAGCCGATTGCGAAAGATGAGAATCCGGAGAGTCCAGAAAACGAAGAGGAACCAATTCGAGTTGAAGAGGATAGTGATTCGGCGAGTAGTGCGGACAGTGAACGAGTCGACGAATCATCGAAAGTGCACCGAAAATCAATCAACGTGAAGGTAAAACTCTTTTCAAAATGAATGAAATCAAAGCGAATTTTCAGGCTGAAATGAGATCAACGAGCTCCGCATCGGGCGAGCCATGGGTGTTGAGTACTCTTCAGCGATGTCGGGCTCTTTCACTTGTTTTTCATTCTGTCGGTCTTTCCAACATCTTTTCATCCACCGCGTCCATCTGATCCTCATTCAACGCCCGACGTTCGACAAGATGTCGCTTTTGTCACCAATAATGTAGATGTGAGTTCAAAATGATCAAAGTGACTAATCACCATAAGATTTTTTTTTCCAAAATAGGTTACATCAAAGTATCCATATTCCTAGCTATCCAAAAACTTTCAGCAAATCAATCAATGGCTTCATGATCATCCCGAGAGTGGCTTATCCGAGGTATCCGATGAAGAGAGATCTCTTCTCTTGGCTCTTCATCATCAACTTCAATCGATCTCTAACGATTCATCGAAATCTTCTTAAGTGCTTTCATATTTCTTAGCTATTTTCTTAAGTATTAGCCATTTTTTGGAAATCAAATTCTGTGCAATGAAACCCTTTTATTGCCATTTTCTTGCTATGCATTAAGATATTTACTTTTTTTGCTACTAGGTATTTGTTTTCCAGCTTTATTAAATTCTTTGTTTCTCTCCTGCCAGTTCACTTGTGCAACTCGATTTTTCACTTGTTCAAAAAGTGCATTTACTAAACTATTTGAAGATATTCATGTGCATTTTTATCGTAGTCTTTTTTTAAGCAATACACCGCATTCAGTTTATGCCTTACGTTTCTGTCATTCTCGAATTTCTTGCCCACTCCATTCCCAATGATTCCAAGCGGCAAATCGACTCAAACCTCATCTTTCTATGATTGGTGGATAACATACACCACGTTGTATTGTATGCAAACTTTGGTTAAATGTCGTATTTAGTGAGATTTGATTTCGAACACTGGAGTTATTTAGCTTTATTGAACAAATAAGTAGAACATGTTAATTTACAGAAGGCTAACTATAGTTAACCCGTGACATGAATTATCAAATCAATAATTCATAATGCAAAAACAAACTTGCAGCTTGCAAAAAAACAATATAAGAAATGCATCAAAATACAATCAATGAAAAGCAGACATCAATGGCGATCTTCAATTTCATCAGCATCAAAAACGGGCCCTTGAATCAACAAGCGTTCCTGAGTCTAAAAATGTACAATAAGACATCACATTACGCTCAGAGTACGAATTTACAACATACTATCAGCTCCTAGAATTTCTCTAGACTATACATCAAAAATAGTTTTACCCGCACTTTTGGATGTACTCTTCCCTGCCGTCGGCCTTTGTCCAAGCGCTTGCGATGAGCAGACAGTTCTCGTAATTTGTTCACATGCTCTGGGTGATTCATTGGGACGTAAGACATAGGCGTACAAAATTTCTAAAAGTAATCTTGTAAAAATAATGGAAATTGTAAGAACTCGAGTCTTCATCACGTGTTCGTGTTCTTGACCATAAAATCCACGGTAGCCTCCGTGTAACACAAAAATTTGTTTGTACTCGACGAAGGGATATCGCTCCAAGTTCAGTGCACGATCAATCCGTCTAAGTTCGTTTGCCCTAAATTAATTTTTAATGACCTAACTGTTCAAGATAACTTACATCCTAGGGCCGCGGACTTCAGAAAATTCACAATAGAAGATAGGGATTCGTGCTCGTCTGTTTCCAAATATAACTGGATCATCAGAAAAGAAGATCGACGTCACCAAACTCGTCTCATTAGAATTATGGGCAAACTAAACAAATAATAAAATTATATTAGGAATTTTAAAATACCTTGATATGACCACCTTCATATTCATAGCTGTATCGACAATCGACAAGGATGTATTTTTGTCTAAAATAAGCAGTTATAAAGTATTTTTAGGCTTATGTTTTGAGATAACTTTTGTTGTAAAGTATATAAGTAGCATGATATTCTTACTCAAATTGGTCTCCCAATTGCTCCAGTTCGCTTACAAGAGTATCCTGTGATATGTACTTGAACGCCGAAGATTTTGCCTTGCACTCCGAGTCAGGCACAACTGGCAAAGTATATTCCTAAAATGGTGTAAATTTTTCTATACAATAGTCAAAGATACCACTTCACGCTCCTCAACAAGACAATCAAAATTTCCGGCAACTTCTGTATCAAGCTGCCCTGTTGATGCTGAAATGTGCAATCGACGACGCTTATCTGGTGTGCAACCGCTAATGACCACGGAATTTGGAGAGTCGGACCACTAAAAAGTACGAGTAATATTTACAACAACAAATCAACATCAGTTTCTTGACAAAATCCATCTTTGTTTTTTATTTGGCCATCTGGCGTCTCCAAAAAACGTTTCCGACTTTCGTTCAACGCGGACAGAGCGTCTAAATCAAAAACTACTTAAGAGACGACTACTAATTCGGGAACCTGCATCATCAAATAGAAACACAGTTTGAGGCGAATCGTCGCTAGCATCCTTCTCGAGAATTGGCGCAGAGGAGCAAGAGCGTAGTTGAGGCACCCGAATCGCCTAAAAGTTTTCACTTTAGTATGACTAAAACAAAACTACCTGCTTGACCGTCTTGTTTCCGCGTCTCTTAGGGGTCGTTGTGAACGATTCTTCAAAGATTGACGGAGTGAGCTCTTGATATCCATCGAGCAGTTTGGGAGGTTCTGTCACCGTCAGTCGTGAAACTGGAATCTCAGCCTTTCGCGTCTGGGTGGGCCGGACTTTGTTGGTTTGGTCCTGAAGAGGTAGACGTAGATGAAGCAGATTCCCTGGCATCTGAACTGCATAAATAACAACCAATGTTGAAATAAAAACAATGCATAAAACTGAAAGCGGTGAAACGTATTTTAGAAAAGTGTTAAAGGGAGTTAAAAGGTATCAACAACTTTGGGGTACAAATTTTCATTCGCACTTTGAACTTCTACAAAAATACAGAGTTCTAACTATAAGATGACCTCCAAACAATTTAGCAGCCAACCAGAAAGGTTTTCTTATTACAAAGAGTGATTCGTAAAAGGGCTTCCGCCAACTTCCGTAACATCAAAATCGACACAGAAGTCAAGCAAAGGGAGACAAGTGCCACAAATCTCAAAATTTAAGCCAGCGGACACCAAAAATGAAAGTCAGTTTTCCATTTTCAAAAAAAGAGTTTAAATAAGAAAAATATTTTGTTCCGAAAGCAAAAGCACTTTGATTTTGGCTGTTTTCACTGATCGATTGAATATTTTTAACCTAATGGCAGCGTTTTCTCTTTCTCCTACTGGCAAAAAGCATTTTCCGTTTCATTTTTCTCGGAGGTGGCTACTTGCCATAACTTTCTTCTAAATTGGTAAATCTTTATGATTTTTGTGTCATTTTATAGATCTCAACAAGTGTAACAAAATGACACCAAAATCATAAAGTTTGGCCAACTTAGAAGAAAGTTATGGTGAGTTGCGCAAAAAAATTGGCGCAAAGTAGCCACCCCTTTTTTTTTCTCTGTAGCTTTAAGACTCCAACCATTGACGTCTTTTTGAAGCACCACACTTTAACATTTTCCTTTTCATGTTGTTTTCATTATTAGTATACACCAGGCTTTATTTTTTTTTCGTGTTTTTAGTTCTGGTCGCAGTGATGGCTCTCGTCGCGTCAGAGGAACACGAATACTTCAAGGCGGTTGGAAAGCGGGCGATCGCCGATCTATGGAAGTACCACAATCATCCGGAGAACTTCCAATCCAGCAAGTTTTCTGAAGGCGACATCAAGGTCTACACAATGAAAAGTGACAACCCCGACTGTCCCGAGGATATCGCCAAAGCTTCCATCTCTCTAGAAGTAAGAGTTTTTAGACCTTTTGGGGAATTAAAAACGTGGTCTACTACGCAAAGGGAGATTTTCGCTAGTCGTGGTCTTCATCTTTAGTTACCAATTTCTACCCTAATACCTGTAATAGTAGCCCCATCCCATAATGACGGGATATTGCCGCGTAGTTTAACTTTACACGCTCCGTTCTCCGCGCTGCTTTATGCTTGGGTGTCAAATGCTAGCCCTTGAAATTTAGTATTTGGTACCAAAAGTAGTTGGGAAAAATTTAGGGAACTGCGAAAAAATTGTTTTGTAAAAGAGGTGAGCTGCGCCATCATACGTGGGCTATTATTAAGGTATTACGGTAGTTACCGGTTCTGGTAAAGACAATACATCAGTTATAGTATTCAAAGTGGGCGTTTAAAGTTTGACTGATTGTTGATTTTCCCATTTCAACGCTGCTCTGAAAAGTTTCTCAAACAGTAATACAAGCCTCCTGACCGTGTAAAACCCTAATTGATTGAAGTAAAGTTGATGCTTGCTTATCAAGTGTATACGTTGTCATTTTAGGGCACTACTCTCAACCACGCACTTGCTCTGGTTTTGCCATGGATGCCTTACAGAACGCAATGGGATGATCTTCTTGCCGTAAGAAAAATAGGTTTTTCCTAGCTTCATTTTTCTTTTAGCGAGTAAAGGTGCTCGAATGAGATTTCTCCTACCATGAAGATCGTTCATCACGTGACTAAAAGAAGGACTCCATTGAGCGCTCGTGACTCGGTAGATGTGGTCTCCATCGACGCTCGAAAAAGCACATCAACTATCATCCTTGCTGCTCGCTCAGTTGAAAAGGCCGACGTGCCCGAACTCAAGGATCATGTACGCACTTTTCAACATCTGGGAGGATTTGTGATTCAAGATTGTGGAGAAGGTAACTAATTACTGAATGAATGGTTTCTTTAGCTGAGTAAACTAGTTGAAATGTGCATAACCCCCATGTCATTTTTCTACTTTAGGAAAAATCGACTTCGAGTTGTACTTCCACGGCGATTTGAAAGTCAGCGGAGGGATCCCTTTTGTGAAAAGCATTATTGAGACGATCAAGCCCAAATTTATGGTGGATATGGCCAAGAACTTGCGCAAGGCTATTCGTGGCGTACCCGTTCTCCCAAGCGACATGCAGGATACATTAATCTGCACAACGGACCTCACTGCATAGTCTGTGATTTATCAATTTTACCGTGTTTGCATTTTGACATTTTGCGGTTTTGAATTATAAGCCTTGTATATTTATGGTGAATAAATGGAATGATTTTTAACAAGACTTAATGTGCAAAAGAATATCAAACTGCTTCTCATTTTTTTCTTACCTATTCGGGGATTGGTCGTATTTAGCGATTACGTGTACAAGTTAAATCAGCCAAATTGGTCGAGCTTTTAACTTTACTTACTTTCTTTATTTGGTTATGGCGGGTGTCGCTGCAGCAAATAGATTAGAGTTAAAAGCGTTTAACCTATTAAAAGAATGGCCCAAAATTGCCCAATAGTTGTTTTTATTTTGGGCGGAAAGTTGTTGTTGTTAAAATAAATAGTGAAAATCAATAAAAAACTTAAATGCAAATTGATGTAATTATGCAGATTTTAAGTGCCCCCCCCCCCACATCGGCGCGAAAATGCGTTTTCTATAGGATTTTCTGGGAGTACCTTTAGATGCGGAAAATTGTGCTGATTCGAATCTGAAGGAATTTTCAAATCCCTCTGAAGAAATTTTTAAATTGAGTTTTAGCAGTTTTTGGTCATTTGTATGGGAAATTTTGTGGTACCCTGCAGTTTGGGGCTCGTAACTCGACAACGAGGGTCTAGAACCAAAAGAGAGAGGCTTATTCAGAGTCTTACGAATATTTTGATGCAAAAATCATAAAATTTGCTAACTCTACAAAAGTTATAACATTTTTTAGAAGAAATGAGAAAATTTTAAAATTCTCTATTGCACAATTGTTTTGTTCAAGAACAATGTAGCTATGTATCGTATTCCCTCAAAACAATTAAGGAATATGCAAAATAATGCTGAAGTGCGGGAGAGTCGAACCAACAACCCCGTACTTTGCGCTGGATTGACGTCGCGCGCCTTAGACCACTCGGCCACGGTTTCCCCTGATGTTTTTAGTGTATTTTGCAAAATTTCTTTAAAGATGTTATAACTTTTTGTAGAGTTAAGCAAATTTTATGATTTTTGCATCAAAATATTCGTAAGAATCTCTAGAATAAGACCTACTCCTTCGTTTTTGGTTCTAGACCCTCGTTGTCGAGTTACGAGCTCCAAACTGCAGGGTACCACAAAATTTCCCATGCAAAATGACCAAAAACTGCTAAAACTCAATTTAAAAAATTTCTGTCAGAGGATTTTGGAAAATTCCTTCAGATTCGGATCCACAATTTTCCGCATCTAAAGGTACTCCCAGAAAAATCCTATAGAAAACGCATTTTTGCCTTATTTCGCCGATGTCCCCCTAAACGCCCATAGCACCGTGGACTTTTGTGTGATTCAATTCATCTTGTCTGAATAATGTGCAGGTAGATTTTTGGGGGTACCCAAATCAGCACCACCCATTTGGGAAATATTCACTGGGAATTGGTAGTCGTGGGCAGTTGGTTTTTTAAAATTGTATTCCATATGCTTCTTTTGCAATCCCTCTTTTTGATCATGTGTGAGACGTAAGGAGTGGTGTCAATGGGCGAGCACTCAGTGTGGAAGGTAATGATTGATCTATACGTTGCATATACTCTGATTTTAGCACAAGGCTTTGAAGGGTTGATTCAATTACCGCACAGTGCGAAAACGGTATATTTTAATAAATTTTCTCCTGGATTGATCTCTAATGTTTAGATTATTGTTTCCAATTGCTGCAATTTCTATGGGATTCAACAGATAAGTAAATCTTTTTGTTAATAAATAACTTTTCTCATAACCACCACTTAACCAAATCGACAGTACAACTACGCGATGCACCTCAGACGAGAATCTCCACACAACCGTCGTCGCTCAATCCGTCAAGATGTCAACGACGGGAACCGTAAGTGAATCAGTGAGTGGACAAATTATTAACTCAATTTTTGTCGACAATTATTGTCTAATTCACTTCATTTTTAAAGTTTTTGTTTAGGTTGAACACAACTGGAAAAATGTGTGGCGCTACTCGAAAGGGGTTTTGCTGAAAAATTTAGCCCCAGCGCTTTTGAATAAGGTAATTCTTGTTTAAATTTGGCTAACTGCCTTAGAATGTCTCTACGGCACATTGCAACTCGGAAGAAGATCCCCGTACCGCACTTCTCACTCAATCACTTGCAGATGTGCAGATGCCGGTGGGAAATGACTCCGAAGTGAGTGGGTAAACAATTAACTTAATTTTTGTCAGTGGTGGTATAAGCATGGTAGTATAAATACCTAAATTAAACTAACATTAGAACTCGTATTTGAATATAAACATAACCTATCGAGAATTCGAGAAAAAGTTTTTCAATCATTTTAGGTCATTTTTATTTTCAAGTTCGCTTTGCGTGCTTGCCTCCTCTTCGCAACGCGGTCCATCCTAAAAATTTTAAAAAATACAACAGAAAAGAATAAAATAACAAATAAAGATACCTTCAAAAAAATAGAAAACCATGATACGCCTGGACAGTTCCTCACCATCAAAATTTCGTGTCTTCAAATACCAAACAAACAACCTATAATTTTGACATCAAATTCGGATTCAGCGTGTTTACTAGCCCTAAAATGTGACTAAAAAGAAAGAAAAGTGAAAAGAAATTTTGAGTTTTTTTTTTTGAATTCACGGGGGGGACCACATGGAATTAGCCAACTTCAAATTGTAATAAATTTTATTTCGATAGACCAATTTTCGTTTTTTTTCTGTTTTGAGATCAGTAAAAATTCAAAAGCATTTGCTAGCAGCCGGATTTTTGACTTGTAAGAAAACGTATTTTCGCCTTATACCGTGATCGATGTGGAATGTTCGCGAGAAAAAGAAATCGTTGAGGCAACCAAAAAAAGGTAGATATATTCGGTTTATATTCTGTAGCTGTGAATCTTAAGACTGGCACATGTTTGACTTTACTGTTACCTTATAGATTCCGAAAGATGACGACGATGATGCCGAGTATGTGTGCCTCGCCGACATGAAAGATGACGATGAAAGATGAAAGAAAATAAAGGAACTATAAAGGAACTATAAAGGAACTAAAAGGAATAAAGGAACTATATAGGAACTATAAAGGAACTAGAAAGGAACTATAAAGGAACTATAAAGGAAATAGAAAATAGATTGAGCTATATATTGCTTGGATAAAGATTAAGACTGCATTATGTTGTTTTTATTGTTAAAATTGATTTGCGAAAGATTAGGCAAACATTCGCTTTTCGTAACTAATATATCTTCAACGGGCAAAACTTATGGGATATCACAATGCATTGTGGGGTTGATAAGCGGATCATTGTTCAAACCTTCTCCATTTGCATCCATATAAAGTTCACTGGTGGAGAGTTTGTCTTTTAACAACAAAAAAGATAGAACACTTTTTTTTATAGTATTCCTGATCCGAAGTATGAGACTTTAATTATTGGTATTCATTTATTTTGAACTTGCACACACAATGATTTGCTTACTTAAACTGACTACTTGTTTATTGCCTCACTAATTTGAATGAATCTTAATAAAACCAGTGTTTATCGATGAAATTTATTGTTCCGATTTTCTCATTTTATCCTAATAAATACCACACCACATCAAAGATTTTTCACTTCTCAAACAACAAAAGAAAAATCTCCATTTCCTGATCGCATCTAATCATTTCGTCACAATGCACTTTTCCAAATGAATCACTAAAATTTGAGACAAAAGCGACATCCCCAATAAATCACCTCCTTTCCTCCCCATTCACTGACCGGAAGTCTATTTTAGGGTTTATCAAATTTTGAGAGAGCTATATTTTGATTTGATTTTCGAATGTGAAAAGTGATCCCTTTCTCCAAACATATACACCCAAACCCCGACGTGTTTTCATGACAAAATTTCCCACCGGTACATTCCCCCCCCCCCCAAAAAGAGGCAGACAGATGGGCAGATCCCCCCATTCATGCATTTGTTTTCTTTTGTGTCTTGCCCACAAAAATTCGATACTGCCACCAATTCAGTCAATTAATTGCCTTGTCGACTATTGTATATGAAAAGAGGAGGTTTGGAGGGAATTGGCTGATTGGGGTGACCATGCCCCCTCTTCCATATCTATCTTACCCTCAAATGACCGCTCACCCTTTCCAACGTACTAGCTGAACTTTGATCATCTCACAACTATTTCTGTGCCTTTTTCTTACGTAAGTCCTTTCTTCTGTCTGACTGTCTGTGAACATGTCTGACCTTTGTTATTCGAAGAATTTAGTATCCGCAAACTTGCCATTTCCTTGGCCATCTGCTACCATCACCTCGGGCTTTTTTCCAACCGATAATTTCATTACAATTTTTTTCAAATCCTTTATTTTGACCACTCAATGATCAATCACTTTCATTTGTTTGTTCATACTTTTTAGCTCAGCTTCTTCTTCTTCAATATTTCAACTTTTTTCTGAATAAACCCCAGGAATACCCCAATTTCTCAACTTTTTCTCGTGTCATCGCTTTGTTTATATATTTTTCACGTGTCTCATGTTTTTGTATAATTTTTGAAAGGTTTAGAGACAAGAGGAGGTCAAGCTGATAACAAAAAAAAAGAAAGATATAATTAGGAAAGGATAAATGAAATTGTAGTTGGACTGGAAAAAATGGAAACAGTAAGTTGCACTGAGAAATTCATATGAAATACAATATTTAAAGGATCTCGTTCAGCCACTCAACGAGGATTTAACTGATGGGAATGACTGGGAAAAGAGGTGAGAAAAGAAATGAAAACTGGTAGATTTGTTCGAAATTCTAGACCAAATACAGTAAGATTTCACTCGTTGAGCATTCAAATCTAAAGCTGATCATTTAACGACTAAAATCTCATTGCCAGTTTGATCATAAAATGATCTCTCTTTTCTCATTGATCTGATCTCTTTCCATTTCCAGATCACTCCCTCCTCGCTTGGGAATCGGCTCACGAATTCGTCTCTTTTTGTTGATGTCAATTCTCACATCAATCGCCAATTTCCCTTCCGGTACGAAGATTAGAAAAAATGATTGAAATCTTTTCAGCATGCAAATCTCTTTTCAGCATTTACACACACTTCAATCAACACGGCAGTACATGAAGTGAATGAATATCTTAATCGGTCATACGCACAAAGAGAGATCATTCTTGAGAATCATCATGTGAGTTGAATACTGTAGAATCATACGGCAGAACACTCTACCGTATACTCTAAAGTATTGTAGCTATAGGCAGTTAATAGCAATACAGTATTGTAAAGTATTGTAGCTATTGTAGCAACAGTAAAGTATTATAGCTATAGCAATACAATATCAGATTAACATTATTGTGGTTGTAAAGCCACATTTGAGATTTCGATCATTCGCTCAACAATCAATTGTGTCTGGTATTTGGGACAAGTCGGTGGAGCGCTTGCGAGTCCTTTCATTTGTGATAAATATGGGAGAAAAGGTAGGAGAAACAGTGTTGATGAAAATTTTGATCATATTTCAGTGGCTTTCATCCTCTCCTCATCTTTCGTCACTCTCGGAGCGCTTCTTCAATTCTTAGCCGTTTTCTCGTCATTTCCCGAAGGTAATTTTAACTTATATAAAGTAAAAGATTGTAACTTGTAAGCTTAAAATCATTCTCATTTAAACATCGTTTACCCAACAACACTTTCCAATCGATTTTTTCCAATCCAATCGATCCAATCGATTCCAATTTTCCAGACTTCCGATTGCAGACTCCAGAACAAATTCCAGATTTTCTTCATCGGTCGAGTCCTGGCCGCTGTTTCATCACCTTTAATGGATGCTGCTCTAATCGTTTATTTGCAAGTTATCAAATTTTCTTAGATTTATAATTGACTTTCGTTAAGGGAATGTGCTCCAGATCGTGTCCGTGGCAGTATGTCCTCTCTTTTCTCAACTGGATATGCGGTCACTTGTCTTCTTGGAATGGCTCTCGGACAAGATGCGCTACTTGGGTAAAAAACAAAAAAGGAAATCCACAATCTCAATCATACAAATTTTTATAGAAAATCGATGAAACTTCTTTTATTCGTTCCCTTGATTACTGGTTTTCTTTCTACTCTCTACCTCCTTACAATACCCGATACACCAAAATATTTGGCCATCAAGAAGTGAGGAAACAGTAAATGTGAAATTAGAGATTGAACGTGATAATGTTTTCTTAAAAAGTGTTCTTTTGTAAAATTTGTAAAATGTAAAACTTTTTGTAAAATTAACAAATTCTAGCGTAATGAAAATCTCTCGAATCAATAGAATTAAAATATTTAAATATAATTGAATCCATAATGAAATCAGACAAAAATTTTTGGCAAGATTACTGATTTACTGATTTGTGGCAAGATTACTAGAGTTGTTACAAGTTAAAGCTTTTTATAAAGCATTTCAAAGTATACTCTAACATAAAATTCTCTTTAGAAACAATGAAAAAGCAGCTAAAAGATCAATAGCGTATTTCTTGGGAAACTCTGTCGATCATCGAATTGAGAAAGAGCTTCTTGAAGAAGAAATTACCGATAATGACCTCAAAAAGGGGAATATTTCGGTGAGGAGATAAGCCTAAAACCTAAAGATGAAGATAAACTTTGCAGGCTTTATGGTCTTGCGGTGCCCTCGGCCGATCCCTTCTCCTTTCGCTAGCCGCTCTCGTTTTCACTCTCCCATTTTTCCCGATCCTTCAAAGCTCGACGTACATTTTCTCGAGTATCGGCATTGAAAAGTGAGTGAAAATTGAAAAATAAACCTATCATTGAGTCATTCAGAGAAATCTCGCAAACATCGTCAACAGTTTTAATGATTCTCTTCACAATTGCTTGCTTCATCTCAACTTCAATCATTGATCGTTTCCCCCGACGATCTTTCCTTCTCACATGTGGTAAATTTTGAAATGAAATCAAGCCAGTCTAAAATATTTCTCAAGAATTCATTTCAGGTGCGATCTCAATGTTTTTATTGCTTTTCTTCCCGATCTCCGATCTTTTCTTTACCAGTCCATATCCAATCATTTTCTTTGCTGGAATTTACATTTTTATTTATGGGTATGGAGTTTTTTCAAAAAAGTTCACAATCTTTTTATAGTGTCGGTGTTGGCGGAGTTGCGTGGACAGTTGGACCAGAGCTGGTTCCCATAAATTACAGGTAGATCAAACGATGGCTTTTACTGTTGTTTCGATCAGAAAATACAGTCGACTCTATCTATAACGGAACTCTATATAGCGGCAAACTCTATATAGTTCGGGGTTTGACCCGCTTTAACCTTATCATCGAGGAAGATTTTGTTTCGGAATAACCGAGTAGCACAAAAGGTTAAACGAGTTTCCCTAAAACGCTCACAACATAACAAGAATACGCAACATCTAGCATAAGGTTAACGCTTGTGATACGAGTATACAACGAATTGACGCTTCGTCGATGACAAAATAAAACAAATTCTTTCTATAATGTTAGACCAGCTATATAAATAGGATTTTAAACCTTAAGGGTAGCGTAAAGTAAATTGAATTTATAATTTTACGGTTTTTTTAGTACAGAATTAAAATGCAACGATAAAAGACAAAAATAGGATGCGCATGAATCGAAACATCAAAACAAATCGAATCAAAGAACGAAGGCAAAAAGCCCAAACAAAAAAAAGGGCGAGAAGCTACCCCCAAAATTCTATCGAAAGAAAAAAGAAAACAATTTGGGGAAGAGAATAAGGCGAAAATCCGACGCAAGTTAAATGCAAATAGGAACGCAAATAGGAAGGAAACGGACGCGATCATATAACGGAATGAAATTTTGGTCCCGGCCGGCTAGCCTATATAAAACGGAAAAAATTTTTGGTCCCTTCCATTCCGTTATAGAGAGAGTCGACTGTAGTATCTAGACTTGGCTTTTGATCTGACTGTGCCTTCCCTGACTTGGCTTGGCTTTTGATCTGACTGTGCCTTCCCTGACTTGACTTAAGCTTTAAGATTCGAAAAGTTCTTGAATTCAATTCAAATCTCGTTTCAGATCGGCTCTTTTCTGTGTCTGTTACGCTCTCCACAGTTCCCTCGTCGTATGCACAAAATTTCATCGTAATTCCTTTGTTTGACGTGAGTTTAACAAGAGTTGAAGTTCTCTAAACACTTTGTCTACAGTGGTTGGGTCTGATGGCGATCCCTTTGCTGTACATTCCAATTCTCGGTGTTGCCTGGATTCTTCTCTTCTTTAAACTGCCGGAAACGAATGTTTATCATGGGAAATAAACCGTTTGTACAAAATTGAGTAAATAACAATTTGTGAAAGGTGTCATTGCTTGATTGATTGAAAAATTGGTTTGTTTAACTTTTAAACAACAGAATTTCTCTCAATTCTTTATTGTACAAGTAAAATGAGCTGATTAAAAACGAAAATTTTCTTTTCAATTCTTTCTTTTCCTTTTCTTCCTTGTCCTTTTCAATTCTTCTTGATTTTTTTTGATTTTTTTTGATTGATTGGTCGTTTGAAAAATCGAAATATCGTGTAAAAGAAAAAATGAGGAAAACAAGGGAAAACATAAAGAAAACAAAAATAATATCGATATTGTTGTGGACGAGTGAGGACATTAAGGTTGATGGCAGATTTAAATGCTCGTCAAGATTCTGTAAACGAGAAATTTATAATCAAATCAAACACGATTTTCAAATGATCATCGATTTGAGTCTGGAAAAATTTTCTCGTTGATTTTTCAAGGCTGATCGTAGTGTTAGAATTGATTCTGCCTCAAGCGTCACACAACAAGATTAAGTTCATTTTTTTTGATGATTATGTGAATAGGGATCAGCCGATCAGCTGAAATGCATCAGCCGGAAAACTCAAAATCCACGTAAACATAAAAAACACACTTTTCAATTCCTCTATTTCGTCAAAAATCGTTCTACTTTTTATTTCTATAAATTTCTTTTTGTTCTTTTAATGTTCTAACCACAATTTCAGTTTGCATTTGTTGGATTGGCTACTTTAAACGGGTTCATGCATCGACCGGGAAGTTCAAAATCCACGTAAACATAAAAAACACACTTTTCAATTCCTCGATTTCACCAAAAATCTTTTTACTTTTTATTTCTATAAATTTCTTTTTGTTCTTTTAATTTTCTAACCACAATTTCAGTTTGCATTGTTGGATTGGCTGCTTCAAAAATCTCGAAAATATGGTTAATTTTTAAACGAGAAAACTCTCTTGTTGCTGCTTTCCAACTTTTTGGGGGTCTTTTATTTTCAAGATCCTAATATCAAAACAAATTTATAGAAATTCCACAAATGATCCCTATTCAAAAAGATCATCAATTTGATCAGAACTTGATGTTGTTGTGTGACGCCTGAGGCAAAACCAATTCTTGACACTACGAGGAGCCTTGAAAAATCAACGAGAAAATTTTTCCAGGCTCAAATCGATGGTCACTTTTTTTGCCGGACACCCTGTAAAGTGCTTTCAAAACTACCGTAACTTGTAAGGTTGCGGATAGCTTTTAAACCTTTTAGAAAACAATAGAATTGTGATTATAGAATAGTTTCCTTAGATTCGAAGAACACGAACCTTGAACTTGGCGGCAAACTGAATCCATTCAATGAATCTCCTCTCTGGCTGATCGGGCTTTTCTTTCAACATTTTCGACAAGATTAAACATTTCTTTTTCATTCTAAAATCCGATCTTTTCTAGAGAACTTCTAGAGAACTTCTAGAGAACTAGAGAACTTTACAGTATCAAATCTGTTTTCCAAACTCCCGTACTCTTGATTTCCAATGACTTTTGTGAGTGCTTCCTTGATCGTTTCCTCGGTGACTTCCGTCTTTCGAATTGTCACCGATATTCCCTTTTCTTGAGCATTCAATGCATTGTATACCTGATTTTTGAGTAAAAGATACATTTTAATTATATTTTTTTTATACTTGATCAGCAAATATCGGTATACTAATTGTCGGAACACCGGCATAAGAAGCCTCAAGATATGAATTCAAACCCATATGGGAGATGAAAGCAATCGTTTTTCCATGTTCTAAAGGGATGCTTTTGATGCAATTTCCATAATTTACCTAAAATATCCGTTTGCGGAAGCCAATTGATCGGGAAAACATTTGTGTAATTCTTGAAAAGCCACGAATCCGACTCGATTGTCTCATACTTCCAGAAGAAATTGTATTCAGGGAAATGGGAAAAAGCGCGAATGAGCGAGATTTTGATCTCATCGGGGATTCGCGATGAAACGACCTGAAAGAAGAGAATTAGAAGCATTAGCACATTTCATTTCATTTCATTTTCTCACCTGTGTTCCCAACGAAAAGATAATGTTTCCCTTTTTGGATTTCGCGAGAAGAGTTTCCCATTCCTATTGATGTACTTTAAAAGTTCTCAATTTCAAAACTCGTACCTCTGAAAGTGTTCTCGGTTTCTTCCGATTAATCCCTCCAATGTATTTCACTTTATGGCTGATCGGTCTTCCCTTTTCAAGTAATTCATTCGAATTCACGAACAGAACAGAGTGCTTCCTGTAAATCAGAAACGATAATCTTACCAGTTAAACTACGGAATTGGCTACGAATTCTCCAAAAATTACTACAGAGACAAATCGTGAACACTCGGGAAATCCTCTCCATAATGTTTTCGAACGATCGAATCCTGGGAAATCTTTTTTTCCAAAATCTCCAAATCTTTCTTTACAGTCATTTTGATGAAATCCGGATAACCAGCGAATTCATATTTGATTGCCGCCAATAAATTGAAAGCTCTTTCCCAAAAACCGAGGCTCAATGTAGGCGAGTTGAAATGAAGAACGTCTGGAAATTGACGGCAAGTGTTATATGCTAAAAAAAGTTTTGATATTTCTCACCTACAATGTAACTGGGTAACATAGGAAGACCGGATGCATAGGTTTGAAGGGGAAACATTGGAGTTGGATTGAATAGAGCGATGTTCGTGATACCTAGATGAGAGAGAGAGAGAGATCAGTTCGATGAAGCCATACATATCAACTTTTAAAAAGCTACCGTCGCTCTCTTTTTATTCAGTTATTCAGCTTTTTATTCAGCTCTATTTTGGTCACAGAGGATATAAAAAGACTTAAAAAGTAAATAAATTGGCTGGCTAAGAAAAAAGTAAATAAATTGGCTGGCTAAAAAACTGAAATATGATAGATGGAAGATTTTATTGTTCTTTAAATCAGGATTAAGGATCTTTTCGAAAGTTCACTTACTTTTATGTTATTTGTTATAATCTTGGTTTCTTTTATTTCTTTTCTCACCTGTTTTATGAAAGAGTGCCAATGGACAATAATCATAAGCTGAAATCAATGCCAGGTCGTATTTCTCATTTCGCAGAGACTCCAAAAGAGTCTCATCACTTAGAAATACTGAAAAATGATCCTTTTTTGAACATTAAACTCTTTTTCCTCACAATCACACATTTTTATGGTGGCGTCCTCAAAAACATCCATAAGTTTCGACTGGAAAAAGCTGCGACTCTCGGAAAAGGGATTCTGAATGGGTAAATGGCTTTAACGGAAGTGGGACAAATGCGACCTTTTTTTGCGCACCCGGACATTTGCGCACCTTTTTTTCCGCACCTTGCCTATTAGCGCACCTTTTTTCGCGTTTAAAAAAAGCTCTAAAAAGCTAATATTAACCAATTTCTATTCCAAATGTTGTTTTTCTAGGTAATTTTAGGGCGTAGAATCCAAATTTTGACATAACAGAGCGTGTGGAACCAATTTGAAAGACAAAACGGCTAGGTCAAATTACAGAAAATTGTTGACCTTTCTCTTTGTATAACTCCGTCCGTTTGTTTCCACACGCTCTGTTATGTCAAAATTTGGATTCGACACCCTAAAATTACCTAGAAAAACAACTTTTGGAATAGAAATTGGTTAATATTAGCTTTTAGAGCTTTTTTAAAACGCGAAAAAAGGTGCGCTAATGGGCTAAGTGCGGAAAAAGGTGCGCAAATGCCCGGGCGCGCAAAAAAAAGGTGCGCAAAAAAAAGGACGCATTTGTCCCACTCCCGGCTTTAACTATAACAACTTTTTATCATAAAAGGTAAACTGTATAAAAATGAAAGATATTCAGTCTTTTCCTTTTCTGGTATTAAGCACGAGCTTTCTAAAAACCGACCATCAAATGTGTCGAGCTAACCCATGGACTCTTCTCCATGAATCCCACCATTCTCACTCTTCGCGCCATTTTCGTGCCATTCTTTTTGTTATTCGTGTTCAGTTGACCGATTATCAGATCCTATTGCTAGGATTTCTTCCGAATTTGTTGAAAAACAAACCACCGAATGCCCATTATTGGCCAAATTATCGACAAGAGAATTCGCGAAATCGAGATGACTCGGACCGATCACTTGAGAATAAAGAACGATATTTAGAGAAGATGTTGTAGAGAAAAGAGAGAATAAAGGGATGAAGAGCTGCGGGAACATCCTGAAAGCCTATTTATGCGAAAAAGTTATTTAAAAAACCGACTCACTACCCAGAAGCCGACAAAAGGCTGAGTCTTGGCAATATTATAATTTCAATCTAGAAGAAAGTTTACAATTCGACAAGTCTAGCTTTTTGATATGAGGAGACTGGCTTTTGAATTGGATACGAGTCGGTTTTCATTAAAGGGAAGCCCCCGGGTGCTCAAGTTTTGATATCAAAGCGATAAGGAAATCTTGCGCTTTTGATTGTGCTTTGTGCGTACTCTGGGAAAACGAAATATCGAAAGCAATAGACTAATAATTGGATGTTTTGAATAAACACTTCTAAAGTAGTTTGTGATTGAATGGTTTGATGGCCAAAAGCAAAAAAAAAAAAGTTATCACTCTCAGAAGCCTTTCCCCCATTCTCTAATCAGTGATTTCTTTCGAAAATCCCATTTGAATGAGGAAATAAACTAGAAGAAATACTTATTTTGTATTTCAGCTCAAGATGTGAATTCACAAATTTGTGATTTCTCTTTCAGAAATCCCATTTGATATTTGCATTTAATATATGTTTACAAATTTATTAAGCACTTGATTCATTCCTTTGTTTCAACAGAATCGGCACGTCTTGGCACATTGATCTCTCATCAGAGCGACGTAGTTCTGAAAAACTTCTCAATTATGCTCATTTCAAGTGATTGCTAGAAATTGTCAGCTTTCAAAAGCTATCAAAAGCAGAATGTCTTTTTCCTCACCGGATCATAGCAGTAAGAGGCCATTCGAGGGCAATCCGAGACACCTACAAATCTAGAATTCTAAAGAGTCAACTTTGTATTCAAACCGGTTATCGGGTTGATCTTATCGACACATGTTCCAGGGCCTGAAATTCAGTTGAGGGGATGGCTACTTTGCGCCAAATTTTTTGCGCAAATGACCCAGTTGCGCAAAAAAAAATTTGGCGCAAAGTAGTCACCCCCCTTGAGTTGAACATTTACAATTGTGCTGTGCGGGAAAATGAGTTTTTTAAAGATCGAGGACAATTCTAGAGTGCTAGTAACTAAGCAGAACTCTACAATCTATTTCTCTTTTTTATTGTACTTCGTTTAGTTCACTCACCAGCCGTCGTTCCCGACCCACAGAAGCCACACGTTTTTGGGCATTGTTCTACCATGATATCATGATAAGACTGAAATTTGAACCAATTGACGTTTTTCTTATTTCCCCACCGCCACATTGCAATAGTTGATCATTTTGGGGCAATCCGAGACACCAGTTTGCGGGTTTACTTTATCGGCACACGCTTCGGTGACCGGTTTATCGGTTGGAGCAATCGTGCTTCCATCTGAAATAAATCATTCAGTCAACTCTGAAGTGTCAACTTTTGGGTACTTTGAGAAATTTGGAAGATGCTATTAGAAATTTGCATTTATATTTTTCTAATTGGTCAGGCTAAAGTAGCGCTTTTTTTTTCATTTCACTCAAAAATTACTTGAATGGACATCAGACAAATTGCAGCAGCTCACATTGTCGAAACAAACCGAATCCTGATCACATCCGAGCTCGCACGCTGAAAATTCGGGAATTTGGTTTTAAAATCGAGAAATCCCCTACGTCCAGTCGGTTTATCGCAAGTCAAAGCGGCATAGGTGGCGCCGAGGCAAAAAGTGATTGTGAATAGAGCGCGAATCATTGGAGTCGAGTGGATTGAGGTTGTGGCCACAAACCTCTCCAACATCATTTTATACACCCACTTAATTATTCACGGATTTGAATTTCAAATGACCATCTTTTGGAAACTCACTTTTTGAAATAAAGGGTCATTATGCGTTTTTTCGAGGTAAGGTCCACTTTGTTTGTTCACCTGTGGAAAGAGTCAGCACCGAGATTTCCCACAAATCGCCCCTCTGATCCAAAAACTTAAAGCAATCTGCATTTTTTGAAAACTCTGCAATAATAATTTATTCAACGCATAATGAGATCAAAAATATTGATGAAACGATAAAAATTTGATGCAAGTGAATGAGTGTAAGAGCAATAAGACATTAAAAAGAAAATTTTCGTAAAGACCAGAGATAAATCAATCAGTAAACAAATGCAAATCGAATCATATAACAACTAATTTTAATTTAGCAGAAAAAACACCATTATCGGCAAGAATCACAAGTCTCATCTCTTTTTCGTTGACTGGATAAGCTCGAAGTGCCATAACTTGTCCCGTTGAGTGCATACCGAAATAAACCTACCAGATAAGTTTTAAAAGAAAACGAAGAAATATCAAACCTCTTTATGCTTATCACTCCAGTCGTAAATTGCCAAGCGATTAAAATCCGGTTCGAACGCCATCGAGACCAGCGATCCTGCGAAATTGAATAATGATGACGAGAGGATATATGGCAAGTCCATCGATTTCGAAGTGATTCTTCTGATTTCTTGGCATTTCACCTTAAATTTTACATTTTCTCCTAGCATCATAAAAAGTTACCAATGCGCCTTCTTCGCACAATTTGTAGAGACGATGCGTCGTGGGTTGATTCTTTTCTCGAATGCCAGGTATTGTGATGACAAAAGAACCAGATGACGAATCCGAAGCAACGCAGCTTATCTTGTGAAAGTTATCTAAATACAAGTTAGAAGATCTACGTTAAAAGACCAGTTAGAAGAGTTTACCGGTATTATGCTCAAGAATCGTTACAAGTTGTCCACGATGTCGAGCCATCACCTTTCTTAAGGACGCCATCAGCAAAAGTTGAGGCTCATCAAATGCGCTAAAATTATCCACAACTTACAGCTTGTCAAGTATGATAAATATTACCTCAGATGAAGAATTGCAAAATTGCCCTGACCATCCGTAAGGTCCGGTGGTTGTTGATGAACAGATTGTACCAGATCAAACTCCAAGACGCGTCCATTTTGTAAACCAACCGCGAACTGAATAGAAAAATCAAAACAAAACAACTGTTTTCACAGACCACAGTATCCGATAGCCAACAACCAGTCCATCCAGGCATACCCAATTTAAATGTATGCGAACGTCGTTGCATTGTCAAATCAAAAATAATGGCAGTGGAATCTTCCGAAACTAAACTTTTAGTTAACACAATAAAAATGATTTCCAAATTACCACTCAAAATTAGGTTAGGCTGTGATGGGCAAATCGAAATAGAGCGGATCTTGTTACTATGAAGCGGTACCATTGAGCCTTGTTTCAATGCAGAGTTTAACTAAATACAATCTTTACAACTTTTCTCATATAAAAACACAAACCGTTGTAAAACAGTATTGCTCAAAAAGACCGCCATTTCTCTTTGTTGCAACAAAAATAAGAGTTCCTAAATTCTGCATAGCATTGAATGAAAAAAGTAATACCGTCAAAGTCAATGGCTTTACACCCTTCCATAGAAAGTTCGCGTCTAGCATCAGGGCAAATTTTGAAAGTTCCCTTTTTGAAACCTTTGACCATCAAATCGGGATACTGCGCTTGTGTCATCCTGAAGTAAATAAAACGATTTCACTGGTAAAGAAAAAACTAACTTTTCTTCCATGTCTTTAATCGCTTTCTGTAGACGCGCCACGTCAATTTCTAGCGACTCGCACAACCGTTTGTAATCATCGCGAGCTTTCCTGGTCACTTCAAGCTCCCCGTTATCGGCCATCTATAAAAATAAAGTAAAACTAATAAAAAACTTGCTAAACCTTAATTGTTCTACCATAATGAAGACGCACATCTTTGAGTGTAGCTTTTGTTTTACATTGAGGGCATTGTGACACTTTCTCTCCTAAAAATTAATGATAAGTAAATGTATCTCCCTTTACCTCTAATCCATCTCTCAATACAAGTCTTCCCAAAAAAGTGTCCACATTTCAGAGAAACTAATCGATGCTCCCCATTTGTTGTAAAATCCTAAACAAATGCCTGCTACTTTAGCAAAATCTAAAAACTAGCCTCGAAACAAATGGTACAAGTGTCTTCGTCTTCATCATTGTTTCCCAAAACTTGATCTGTATGAGAATTAATTAAAAAATAGGCAAAAATGCAAACTTTCTAGTGGCTGATCGTTATTGCTTTTAGGAGGCATTGGGCCACTGATGTCTTCTTGATCCCAATCAATCCTGTGAGGAGCATTATGTACATTAGAAGTCGATGGTTCATTTCGGACATCCTAGGTTTAGATAAACAACAAATTGGCTTAAACAACTTACACTTATAGGCGAAACCGTATCATCAAGGCGAGCGCGACGGCGTGGTGGTACGGGACTTACTGAATGCGATGACTCTCGGAGTTCCGCATTATCAAGGCGTGTGCGACGACGCGGTGGTACAGGAGTTGTCGAGCGCGTTGAATCTTGGAGTTCTAAATTAGCTTGAGCTTAAATAACAAAAAGCTATCTCACCTGCAAGTTCACGTTGAAGCTCAGTAAGACTTTCATTGGTCCTTCTGTGTCTCCTCCTTCTAGGAGCTTCTGGTGTGCTACAAAAAATAAATATTCAACGTTAAGTTGGGAAAATCATAATGGACTTTTGATGAAATGATGCTTAATATTATGTATTAGAGAAAACTGTACTCCAAAATCGTGATAGACTGATCTCCTTCCGAGATTGTACCATCATCTAAAAAGAACACAAATAAAGAACATAAAGGAAAAACTCTGTAAAAATCACCAATAAAGTCGGCTAAATCACTGTCGTAATCATCACTCATGTCACTTGAGGGCACATCCTAAACAAATCTTTTGAAATATTTCCCAGATTTTTCATACGATGGTTTCATCAGCACTTGCTTGAGCGGTTCGTTCACTCCGCCGCCTTCTCTGTTGAGTTTGATCCTAGAAAAAGGATTGTATATTTTAGAAAATAACTTTTAACATTTGGCTAAAGGTTTATAGAAGAACCCACCGATCGAGCGTTTCGAGAAGCGCGTGCTCGACCAGGACGTAACATGCTCTTAAATTAATAAAGTTACAATTAAAAAAAAAAAAGTTTGACAGAGTAGCAAGAAAACAAAAACAAATATATTGGCAAAGTAACAAGTTATTTCTCATGAAAAATGACAGGCTCATCCGCAAAAGCTTTGTCAATAGCGTCAAATCCTTTTTCTCCCAAAGCTGCTTGAAAGCATTGTCTCAATTTATCGATAGACATCATTCGGTTACCCGCCCAGGTTCGTTGATAGGCAAGTCCCTCTTCGTTTGAATAGATCGGCCCAGAAGATTTCTCTACGTTAATCACGATGACTGCAGGCTTTTCGCCAATCCGAATCGATTGTAAGCATGGCGTGCAACGTTCACCTCGTAGAGTGTGTATTGCCTTGGTTTCTTTAAAAGAAAATTTTGGCTTTTCCAGTTCAATTGTTTTAGAGTCCGACTTCATCCAACCATCAGCGTCATTAATTCGTTCTTGATCGCCAGTGAAGGTGTTGATTTCTTCTGAAGCGTCCAAAAGTGGGTAAATTTCGATTTTGATTGCATCAGATGGTGGGCGAGGTTTGAAACGAGAAAGTGTATCATCCAATGAATACACAAAATGTTCCAGCAAGAAATCATTCATCCGTACACCTTTTATCACCCCATCATTGCTCACACCCAAATAGATTTTTCCGCCTTTTGTGTTTAAGAAGGCACAAATCGTTTTGCTGATTGGTTGCAGCGTTCGCACAACCTTTCCCTTGTGCACCATTTCTGAATATTTTGAGATTTCTTCAATCGAAACACTTGTGTGCATCTTGAATTCGGTTTCTTGGTCCTCGTAGAGCCAATCCACGCGTTCGTCATGCTTGAGCGGATTGTTGAATGTCCAAGGCAACGCTTCCTAAAATTATGTTTTAAAATAAAAAATTATAAAAGCTGCTTTTGAAACCATACTATTTTTGGACAAGTTTTGACAAGTTGCAAGGAACGCATAGAATGGCTAACGTAATGCAACTTTCCCGGGGTTTAATTTTCAAATTTTCCCTACTCTATTCTTTGTACCTTTGACCGTAACCCTCTGTATCACGTTTATTGCTCTGGCCTTGCTTGTGTCAAAGGAGGGACGCCTTTTCTTTAAGCATGTTCACGAGGAAAAATTTAAGATAATTTAATTTACTTGATTACTGTTTGCAAATATCTTTATGTTACTCTTCACTAATTATTGAATCGCATTATGTTCTTGGCTTTGTAATTTAAAAAAATTTTTCACGACATTTAAATCTATTGATTTTATTTAAGTTAAAGCTTTGTTCAAATCTAAACAGATCCTTGATACCGTTCAAATAGACTTCATGAAAACTTTCAGCTTTCAATAAATGTACGATACCTGAAGTAAGAAGTTTGCCAAATGTCGAACTGTTCTCCGAACTCGATTTCCCCAAGCTCGTCCGGAGGCGAATTTCAAAAAGTAACTAACAGCAAAAGGTTTTAAACAATTGCAAAAATTTCAGTCTGAAATCAATTCCGTAATTGGAGGCCTAAGTCGATCACCGGCTCTTGCCACTTCAGTGCCTTCCCATCATTGTGCTGTAAGCCCCCAAGATGAAGCTAGCAATGATGGGCTCAACAAAAACAAAACACAAAAGTTCTACTTTACGTTAGTTATTCAAAAATTTTTTATTTAATTTTTTTATGCAGAACCATGATGGTTAATGAAGCAGTGGCCGAGATTGATTTCGATAATTTATTGGCCTGGTATTCAAGGAAGAAGAAGGTTAGAGAGGCAGCGATCAAATTTCTGTATGTAACAGCTATTTTAGGAAAAAGCCCTTAGCGAAGCTAACCCAAATTCGGCCAGCGAGAGAAAACGGAAAGTCACGGTGAGTCACCAGTAATTATCCCAAAAGTTGTCATCATTTAACTGATTTATTACTCAGTTTTTTAGGCTCCGGATACCACCGAGACAAAACGGTTAAAAGAAGCAACAACGGCAGCCGACATACAAAAAATTTTGACAGATGAGTCGAGAGATAGTAATCCGTTAAAGTATGTCTGAAAAAATCTCTTCATAAATTTGATAAATTCAGGCAAATGGAGCTAATGACCAACTCATCAGCCCTCGAACCCTCCGGCATAAAAGATGTGATAGCCTCGAGCTGTAAAAACAAGTTTGAATTAAAAACTAAATTCTTATCTAATCCGCAATGCAGAGAAGCGGAACGCGAACGAAATGCCAAACTAGAAAAACTTGGGGAAATCGAAAACACTCTGGTGGCGAATCAACAACCGACCTACCAAGGTTTACAAAGACAAACCAGTGAATCGCAACTTCTAGCACCGCCAATGCACGGAAAGTAAGTGTGACCTCAAACTTTTTATACATAGAAAATTAATTTAGACAAGAATGGGAACGGATTGTAGGCACAGGCAGCGGACCCTCAACGAGTACCGCTTCAACGCCTCCATGCCCGCAACCAGCTCAATTTTCACCAATGTATGCTGCTCCATCGGGTAAGTTGGATGCAAAATCCCAGACTCATATGACACTTCAGCCCCACTTTCTGCTGGTGCATATCCAACTCCATTTCCTCCGTATCCTTCACCTCAAATGGGTTTAAATGGGCCAGCTAGTGCCGGTCACTACCCGTCGAATCCAGGTAAGCACTCAGATAAATTTACATGATGTGACCTAAAGCGTATTCAGCAATGAAGAAACAAAGTAATTGCTCGATGGCAACAAACGGGGCGACGAACGCACCTCGGATGATACAAGCAATGTCTCCAATGGGTTACCCTGCTTATCAACCGTGAGTTCGAAATGTTGTTTTCTTAAAATTACTTGTCCAGATACCCTGGTTGGAGACCAGGAATGCCGTATCCAATCTCACAAAATCCTGCCTACCTCCAATGGCAGCAACAGGCGATGGCCAAAGGTTTGTTCAGACTTTAATCTATTCACGAGTTTTCTGATCACTATTTGCAGGATCTGGAAACCTATCACCTGGCGCATTTCATCCTCAACTACCACCAGGAGCTCTTCCACCAAGTAAAACTTTCATAAAAAGAGTACCTAAAGAGAAGTCATGAATCTCCAAGTTATAAAAATAATTCAGATCTAGCTGGATACCCGCCGAACATGCTTATTCCAAATAGACTGCCCCCTGGAATGCCACATCCACCGCCATATGGATATCCGGGTATACCCCCTCATCCGGGGTATCAACCACTTCCGGGTGCCATGCATCCTGGTTTGAATAACTAAAGTATTCATATCAAAATGAAATTTCAGCAATGATGGTCCCGAGGCCAGGAATGCCAATCGACCCTTCCATGAATCCCTACGGTTAGTAAAAAAGCTAATACCAAAAAATGTTTACCTATTTAGCGAACTTTGCCCAAGTGCAAGGCCTCGAAAAGGATCCAGCCTCCAAATCAGAAGAAGCACCGGTGTCGGACCCAGTTTTAGCCGCTTCCTGATTGAATTCCCACATAGTCGAAAAATCAAAGTTCACACTTTTTATACAGATCAACACCCTAAGTTTCATCGGGTCATGATTTCTGTTCCAAATCTTGCTTGCACGTTTTATGAACGGTCACAACGTTTTCACAAACTAGTTAGCTACAAAATATACCCATGTTTCTAGACCAGAGTTTGCCACGTTGCATACAAAATAAATGCATTTCTACAAATACTATTGTTGGTAGAAACCCAGTCTTGATTTCACTTAACGCCCTTTAATCGTCAAATTGTTCTTTACTTGAGTAAAACGTATTTTGATCTCTGTTTATGTTATGAAAATAGCCATTTGTTCATATGTCATTGGCATTTATTTACTTCATGTCGCTTTTATTGAAATTGCTCAAACGACATTTCTTAACGTGTATTGATTTTTTTTTGCTACTTACCTATTTTTCAACCCCCGTGTGAGCAACATTATAAAAATGTCCCTGGCTCGCCAGCAAATAAAATATACTTTAAGCGTATCAAATAACAATTACATTTCATCTGGAAAACATTTTGATCTATTGATTTTAATTGCACACGCATTAAATGATCTTCAAATCATGTAAGGATCATTTGAAAGCAAAGCACGATTTTTGAAAAACCCTCTCTACCTTTTGTCTTTCTCAATGTCTAGCGAAAAAGGGCTGGCTGATCTCACGCCACCAAACGCACCGATTTCTTTCCTTTTCCATCAAACGTTCAAGCGAGAGACCACACAGTTGACCAGAGAGCACAAAGAAAGAAAGGTTTCCCCATAGGCCAGCAGAGTTCATTTCTGTCTGCATTTGAAACTTTCACCCCTGGATCTGCTGGCCACTCTCTAATTTATTTTTTCGGAGATGGGCCTCAAAACACAGGGAATCCGAATTCGGGTAATTTTAGTATTATACTAAACAGATATTTTTCTTTATGATGCACAACGTTTTAGGAATCATTCCCAATTGCAACTCATCAAAAAGCTAACAAGCCATTTTAGGTTGACGGGAAATGGATGCATCTGAGCGACGAAATGATCCATAACCATCCAGGGGGAAACGTGATAACACAATATGCGTTCGTTTTCATTTTAAAAGCTATGAAAAATACCTGGTCATCATGAGAGACTTGGGAGATTCCTTTTGTTAGCCAAGGGTTTTCCGGCGAAGTCACAAACAATTTTTGTGGGCTGGTCGGTATAGGCATTCTAAAAACGCAAAATTTAAGTACTTAAAAAGCCTGCAAAAATTAATCAAGTACCTTTAAAATTCCAATGAGATTCGCGTTGAGAATGTAGAGCACGGGCCGGCAGCTGAAAATAAAAAGTTTGTAAATAAGAAAACAAAACAGATTCCAAGAAGTAAAACAAAAAAAGCACGATGAATACTTTTAGCAATGCAGACGCTACACATATGTTTCACGCGTTTCACGAAGGTTCAGGCATGGCATATAAACAATTGGAAATCTTGAAGAAACAAGCTTGGGACAAGGTAAGAAATAGGGTGGAAAGCTTTTACAGTGCTTAAAAATTTCAGAGCGAGGATCTCGAAGAGTACATTAAAAAAAGGGACGATAAGATCGATGTGAACGTTTCGACTTATGATATTACAATTGAGCAGGTTTGATGCAAAAAGCAGTCATTAAATGGAATATTCTCTAGGAAAAGAACATTACTCAACGATTTGAGCAACTACGACAAGATGTACACCGACTTGGATTGATGGAAGCAAAGGAGGGGGTTCGTGCGGGAAAAATAATGTGCAATTGGGGGAGTGGGACCAAATGCGACCTTTTTTTTGCGCGCCCGGACATTTGCGCACCTTTTTTCCGCACTTAACCCATTAGCGCACCCTTTTTCGCGTTTTAAAAAAGCTCTAAAAGCTAATATTAACCAATTTCTATTCCAAAAGTTGTTTTTCTAGGTAATTTGAGGGTGTCGAATTCAAATTTTGACATAACAGAGCGTGTGGAACCAATTTGAAAGAAAAACGGCTAGGTCAAATTACAGAAAATTGTTGATTTTTCTCTTTGTATAAATCCGTTCGTTCGCTTCCACAAGCTCTGATATGCCAAAATTTCGATTCTACGCCCTAAAATTACCTAGAAAAACAACTTTTGGAATAGAAATTGGTTAATATTAGCTTTTAGAGCTTTTTAAAACGCGAAAAAGGTGCGCTAATGGGCAAGGTGCGGAAAAAAGGTGCGCAAATGTCCGGGCGCAAAAAAGGTCGCATTTGTCCCACTCCCCAATTGGGCAATGGCAATATTTCAACCCTTAACATTTGCTGTAAAGATATTCAGCTGATCAGCTAAGTATCGAAATGTAAAATTTGCTAGAGAGTATAAATATAAATTTATGAAACTTGAGTAATGGATTGATTGCAATAACTCTTCCTTAATATCTTTGATCCTTTTAGGTATTACTACTTCAAAATGGTGAGCACAATGTCCATCATGTTGTTAGCATTTGTTCTCCAATATCAGCAATGGTAAGTGCTCTCGAAAATAGTCAAAAAACGGTATTTCAGGTATCTACTATCGGCGTGTGTGATGGCGGTTAGTTTTCCAAATTTGTATCATTCCTTTGTAAAACAAATGAAAACAAATAATTCATGCTTATCTAAATAAATCCAAAAATCTATTATGGTTTATAGGTTTGCTGGCAACAACTTGGCTGGATGACACATGAGTTCTGTCATCATCAACCATTCAAAGTAAGACAAATCAAAGCTTTTAGAAACCAAACAAAATACTTTCAGAATCGCCGACAAAATGATCGTTTTGGACTTTTCTTTGGCAACATTGCTCAAGGATTTGCGAGCGATTGGTGGAAAGACAAGGTTTACAAAAAAATATCAACAATGATTCTGGAATCTTTTAGCATAATACCCATCATGCCACTACGAATATGATCGATCATGACGGAGGTGAGTTCTGAGCCTCATTACCTTCATTAGATTGTGATTGGATAAAAACTAAAGCCAAGGCTACTCTAACGTTCGAAAGTTGACACATTTTAGAAAGCGCATTACTTGAGCACACTCTATATTCGATTTTAGACATCGATTTGGCTCCTCTGATTACTTTTGTGCCCGCTGATCTTCTCAAGTACAAAGAACCATTCGAGAAGGCCATTCTGAAGGTCCATCTCTTTTAGATAACCCTAAAAATTGTTAATTCCAGTTGATCCCCTATCAACATTTGTATTACACTGCAATGTTGCCCGTCTTGAGATTCTCGTGGTTGGCTCAATCTCTGCAATTCGCCTTCGTGCAAAATAAATCGAAATTCCGTCAATACAGGGAGAATGCCTTCGATCAACAGGTATTCAAAGAGTCGCAAATTCATCTCAACAATATTTCCAGCTCGGTTTGGTGATTCACTGGGGTTGGGTGCTGTTTCAATTGTATCTTCTTCCATCATGGCCACTCAGGATTGCATATTTCCTCATCTCACAGGTAAGAAGAAAGAAAAGAAAGAAAGCTTTGTTTATAGTTGTTTATCGATAAGAAAACATTGTATTCTCTTCAAAATGAATGGCTCAAAATTGCAGGCAGGTTCCGGGTTCCTCATCGCTCACGTTGTCACATTCAATCACAATTCCGTTGACAAATATCCAGGTAGAAATCTTTCTATAATTACTGTAAAATACTGTAAATCTATTTTCATCCCAAAAATTTCTTTCAGCAAATTCTCGAATTCTCAACAATTTCGCGGCTCTTCAAATCTTGACCACCCGCAACATGACTCCATCACCGTTCATCGATTGGCTCTGGGGAGGACTCAACTATCAGGTGACTTTAAAAATAGAGAAATTTTTGAATAGAATATATCTAGGTTGAACATCACTTGTTCCCAACAATGCCCAGATGCAATTTGAATAAATGCTCGGTTTTAGTGAAGCAATTCTGTAAGGTGAGTCGAGAGTTGAACTAACAAAGGTGGTATCTTTTTGAAACAATCAAACTTTCAGGACACATCCCTTGAATACTTATGCGATGATTTCTTTGTGGGCTATGGGTTGAATTTGGAACAGCTTGAGAAAATGGCGAAACACGTTGAAGTGAACGTCCTTGAAGAAGAGGACGAGCATCGGACTCGGGGATGAATTTGGGGCGATTTTTAGTTAACTTTTTGACTTTTTAAATAATGTAATTGTATTTGAAAAAATGTCGCGGGTAGTCGCCTAAATTTCCCCTAACAACCCTATGAATTGAGCTTTTTCTGTTTGCGATTTCTGATTGTTTTAAAAAGTCGATAAATCGATCAAAGTGTATATTCTTTGAAAATCGCTTGAAGTGTTCACATGCGGAAAAAATGATCTCAACAAAAAAAGAAGGAATGTTGTGATATGGAGAATGTGACAGAGAGGGGAGAGGGGAGGCGAGACTTGTCGCGCTTTGAGTCCCGAGACTGATTGAAAACTGATAACATACTCAAGAGAAGAAAAAAAGAAAAAAAAATGGATTGCCCTTTGGCCGGTTCTTGCTGCCATTTTTTTCTTTTGTTATATGGTAAGTAGTTTGAAATCCCGCCCGTTACCGGGTCAATGAGTAATCCTTTTGATCCCAATACTCCTAATGGTTTCCCTTTTTTCTTCCTCAGCTGATAAACTAGCCGATACCTATCTATAGCTCTAATAAACATAAAATAACAATTTCAGCGTCAAAATACATACAAATTTCGATTTAATTGAACTGAACTTGTGGCTCTTTCTCAAGCGTTACTTTTATTTTCGGCACCTCTGGAGAAGCGGATCGATTCGCGTTTCGGAATCTGAAACTTTTTAAAGTGCTTGTTGGAATTGGAACAGTGAAATGTTGTTTTTACTCACAATCGAATTTTTATTGTGAAAGAGTGATAAGAGTTTTTGTGAAGAGACAGAGATTCAACTTATCAGAATCTCGCACAATTCGGAGCGATCAAAAATGAAAGTAGTTAAGTACCAAAGTATGCTGAGAGGGTAATTTCACAAAATGGCACAAAATAAGAAAAAAAACCTTCTATATGACATCGGTCGAAGTCGAGAAATGAGCGGTTTAATTGATGGAGCTCGTCGAAGAGAAGAAGTTGTTGTGTCACCAGAAAAGAAACGAGAAATGAAGGCCTGTACTCGGTCTTGTGTTGCTGGAAATGGGATTGAAATTTCAAAAAAAAACCCGATTATAATTCTCCTCAATCACCTTTTGTTCTTTCGGATTGCGCTTGCGAGTTCAACATGGAGACGAAAAGAAAAACGAGGAGAAGAGTCGAGAAAAAACTGATGGCGACGAAGAGGCGAGAATCGTTTTCCTAGATAAATTTTAGGGTTCATAAATTTGGATAAACTTGTGGTAAATTGAAATTGTTTTTTAATTAACTTACCTTGGCTAAACTCAAAAATAATGGATAGACAAGGGTGCCGAAAGAGGAGCCGGAGATCACAACCGAGACTGATTCAGCTGAAAGACTAATTCAGCTCGTTGAGTGTTGGCTAATTAAAAGCGTCTTTAATTCCCTATTTACGTTATGTCACTGATGGTAGCCCTTTCTAAGGATACCATACCTTTCTTTCTTTTTTGAACAGATAATACTTGCCTCGAAGTAGCAATGTATGCTTAACATATGTGAGAGCGGAGGGTAAAAATTGTGCGAGTGAAATGGCGGCAAGGGAAGTACCCAACCAGATTGGACGTTCGAAGATGAAAACACATGATGACAGCCCATATATTAACTAGAAATAAAATTATGAATACATTTATTAGATTGAGGAAAAAAAATCATGCGTGTTTTTTTATTTATTGCAAAAATCTATTGCATTCTATCAATCTCCAAGAACTATCAATCTCCAAGGGTTTCTCCATTTTTATCAATGCTTTCTTCCCAGCTTCGACGCAAGTCCCTGACTTGTGAAAAATTTGGGGTTTTTAGAGCCAAAATAGTTGTCGCCCGCTTTTTTGACTTGAGCATGATCATCGAACTTTTCTCCCATGATAAACTGTTTCAGGAATCGAAAGAAAAAGTAATCTGACGGCAGGCTTGCAGCTTGCAGGCGAAAAAAAAAGCGGAAAATTTAATATCTTTTAGCTTTCAAAGAAAAGTCAACAAATGGGGCAGCTACGTTTTTCCGCAGTGCGTAGCTGCCCCATTCGTTTGGTTCTGCTTTGAAAATCAAAATCTATTCAATTTTCCGCTTACAAGTCTAGGGCTAAGTCAGGAGAGTGAGGCGCATGAGAAAGCAACTTCCAGCCGAGCTCGTCAATTTTTTGTGAATTACTTTCGCAGTGTGGGGTTTCGGGTTGTCGTGCAAAAATCGAATCTTTGATGGATTGAGCCTCAATTTCTTTAAAGCCTCGTTAGCTTTAGTCAATTGTTTTAAATAGAGGTCAGCATCAATGTTTTCATCTGGATTAGCTAACTCATAGTGCACCAAAGCTTTTTAGTTCTACCAGCAACAGAGCATTATTTTCTTTCCATGAATATCAGTTTTGGGAGTGGTTTGCTTGGTTTTTCCGGTAGATAGCCATTGGTTCTTCCTTTTGACAATCTCGTAATTAATCCAAGTTTCATCAGATGTCAAAATCGAATCCCAGCTTTGCATTTATGGAGCAAAAAAGAACTGAACTGACGTTGACACGAGTTGTTTTGTTGTCGGAGTCAGTTCTTGAGTCAGTTCGTGCGGGACTCATTTTCCACAACGAATTTTTTCCCAGATTGGCGCAAATGATTGTCGATTGTCTTCTGACCAACATTTCTGCAAGCTCGCGAGTCGTGAGTGTTGAGTTGAATTCAATTTCAATTCCCCATTGCGAAATTCAAAACACGCATTTTTTTTTCCTCAACCTAATAGAATAGAATTATTTTTACACTCACAATACTCAATCCAATATGAAAAATGGGCGCAATTTTGTCGGCGAAAAGCACGGCAATCACTCGACCAAACATGTAGAATGTCTATGGGAAATTTAGACTTTTAGAAATCTTTTTTCAAATACGGTAAAGATTTGATAATCGATTTCCGATGAATCCTCTCGAGAAAAGACAAAAAATGGGAAAAGTGTGAAGAGAATCTGGAACACTTAATCGTTTTGCTTTGTGCGTTCTGTTTTACCTGTCCAATGCAGCATATTGAGGCAACTAACATCACCAATCGCATCATACCAGATTCCCAATGATTTTCTATAGTTATGATTAGAACTAGCAACTAATGCGTTTTCTAAAACGTGTCAACTTTTAAAAACTATCGCAATCTTGGCTCAAGTTTTATCCGAACTACCGTATTTCTTCGAATAGAAGACCGGGTAAAGAGTATCATCGCGTACTCCTGCGTAGCAGCCCTTTTTAAAATTTTTTTTTCAAAATTTCCAAAGCTATATGAGCTGGAAAATGGCTCAAAAATCTGTTAGCTCATGTGGTATTTTTGAGCCATTTTCCAGCTCTATAGCACTTGATTGAAAGCTTTTATGCAGAAAAGAAATTTTAAAAAGGGCTGCTACGCAGGAGTACGCGATGATACTCTTTACCCGCTCTTCTACTCGAAGAAATACGGTATCTACTCTTTGTATGTATCTTTTAAGATCTCTTTTGAGCCACAAATCAAAGACAAGATTACGGTTGTTTTAAAAAAAATGGTATGCTTAAGAGAAACGCAAGAATTGTTGTCAAACCTGGTTGATTCTCAGCCGCATTTCCCTCAATTTCTTCATAATCAGCTCTCCGCTGTTCATCATTTGTCACTTCTGTCGTTCTTTCAGCATTAGCTGGATTCTCATTAGTTTTCATCAACACGACATAAAGAAATGGAACCTGAAATGGAACCTGAAATTGTACTATTCTATCTAGGAAAGATCTCATTTGAGCCTTATTTTACGGGGCCTTATTTTACCCTAACTCATTTTACGTGAATCAGTGAGAAATGAGTCTGTGGGAAAATCTTCAGAAATAGATATCAAACGAGTATTACCTGAATGAAAGCAAAAATCCATATCAAATAACGAGCATCAAAAATGGGAACGAAACGGATTTTGTCCATACTGAATGCGAATTTCAAATTTCTTTGTTTTTATCTTTTACCTTATATGAGCATTGAATAACTCTTCTTCACATGGAGAATCCTCGGGATTTGGCTTGAGTTTGTAAACGATTGAAGCTAGGAAGACACCAAGTGCGTGAAATAGATGAAGAACCTAGAGGTAACATATCAAACAGTATCTACTTTAACTCATTTTACGTGAATCAGTGAGAAATGAGTCTGTGGGAAAATCTTCAGAAATGAGATATTGATCTAAAAGAATGCATTTTTGTTTTTAATAGTCTCAACTCTCACATCTGACAGTTGAACGCCCAAAGAAAGTCCAAGTAGTGCGAAGATCTGAGTTTTTTAAAAGATTAAAATAGATTGTGATACTCACTGATGCAAACAGCAACAAATCTGTGACAAAAGTGACGGAAGCAAAAGAAATAATCGCTAAAAGAGAGCTGATGAACATCGTGCGAAGCTCGTTTTCACTAAATTCATCAAGATCTCTTAAATAATGTGTTTTCTAAAATCCGCCAACTTTCGAAAACTACCGTAACAGTTTCACCCAATTTTTATATCGGTATTCTTTGGGAATCCCGCCGAATCAAACCGTTCTTACAATACAATCAAATCGTTCTCACTGTTTATTGAAGTACGCGTTTCCCATTGTCCCGATGAAAAGTGTTGCGTTGAAGATGAAAAATATCCAAAACATGTGCACTGATGGGATATTTGAGACACATGTTAGATAGGAAAAGCTTAATGGGAGTAAACTGCTCTGAAATCGGATTTTAGATGATATTAAAGCTTGAAAATGGCTTACAATGAATCCGACATTGAAATTTGCCCATACGTAGATAAAAAAACGAGCTCGTCGCTGGGTGATAATTCGAAAAACCTGAAGAAGAAGAAGGAAAAAGATAACGGAATATTCATTGTCATTTTTAGAATGGCAATCTAGAAATTTGAAAGGGAATGGAACTGAATGGAAATCTGTAAAATAGATCAAAAACCAAAACTAACTTTATTATTCATCCAAATGCTAAAAGCCAACTGATCAGGGTATTCTAGAAAGCGACCACCGCCTTTTGGCTTAACCTAATTCAAAATCTTGCCCGAAAAGTCACAAAAGGCCATGAACATGTGTTTCTCACATGTGGTCGTGGTCTGGCTTTGAAATTTTTGCGTTGGAACAGCCCTGCATATGATCTACAAATTCTTATTTTTTAAAGATAATCTTTTATGAAACTTTCTTATAATTAGTCCTTGAAATTTTCTAGATTGCCAAATTGAAAAGACCTTTGTTGCTCGATCGACCATCAATGAAGAGAAAGAGGGACGTTCTGTTGTGAATGAGATGGGTGAAGAGAAAGCAATCTAGTTGACAATTCCGAGGTTCTTCAACACCAATCAATGAATGTTATGAGAAAAGAAGGCAAACGAAAAGAAAAGAAACAAAAAAATAGCTACTAATCCGGAAACCACACGAGGAGAAGAGGTATCAAGCGAAATCGAATATTCACCCACAAATGAGAGAAAAAGGTAGTTGTGAAGATGGGGATTAACAGAAAACTAACCCTTTAAAAAAAGATTGTACGTAAAAATCTATCTCTTTTTTTTTGAAAATCCGGACAGGGATTTCCAAAACAGTGTGCAGACAAATTTTGAGTCGCTACGGTGTGCCTGTGTAAGTGGTCACTTTGTATCCCATTTCGATTTTTACTTGCTCTTTCCAACAGTATTCTTCAAATAGTTTATTGACAAGTTTTACTCAATTCATCGACTCAGTGAGCCCTCAGGCACATATTAGAAAAATATTATGCTGTTGTTAGATGGCAATATTTCGTGATTAGACTCAAATTCACAATTAAATTGGAGAGCAGACAAACAGATCAGGAGTTAGTACGTTCACTGGACAAATTCATTATAAAACAAACAATATTAGATGAGAGACAGGAAATCTATATACAAAATATCAAAGGTAAAACAGCGAAATCCATGAAAAGCACTTGCACATATCTAGAAAACTCAGAAATCAACGAGAGCTCAATAATCAGCTGCATTCATTTACATTCCTTTCTCTTTTACGATTAACCACACTGCTACTGAATTATTGAGAGCCGTTCTTAATTTACGCAATCAAAGTTGAATCAAAATTAATCCTACTATTGAATTAGTCAGCTCAAGGCTAAACATTAAAACTTGTAACTAGAAGATGCAAGTGTTTTTCAACGGTGGAAACAAAATCAAAATTTACATACACAGGAGAATCTGTTTACAATATTACAACATTTGTAAAGCTGTCACTCTTGTTGCGTTCTGTAGGGGTTTGGCGGCAACTCCGGGTAGAGCCTTCCACTGCATCCGGTACAAGCAGGTAACGACCTTAATTCAACAATTTCCTCTTTGGAAGAATTTCTTTCTCTAAAGAAGAACATCCTATTATAACTAAAAGTCTAGCGGTCCGCCCGTCTCCCGGTCACCGTTTTTCAATCTCAGCCCAACGAAACAGCAAAATATAATACCTTCGATTTTCCTTTCGCCTTTCATTAGATGAAGCCAACTGAGCTAACGCAGTAGGATGATCCTCATTCCTAATCGGCTGCAAGTACGGAGCGTGACTCTTTGGTGCTAAAGTTTTGTAAAATGGGCAAGAAAAAGCATTAATCACCTGGCCTTGCAATTGGTGTCATCGTTGGCGCCGTAGCAGCAGCTAGGGGAATTGGCTGAAGATGTGGCAAACGAGAAGATGAAGTTCCCGACGTCGTACTCTAAAAAAACAAATTAGAAGTTGAAATCATTGTCACATTTTGCAATTAATACTTAATAACACTCATACCGTCGTGCTTCTTTCCATTTCCCCGGCTGGAGCAGACGGTGTGTATGGTGGTGGAGGAGAAGCAGGGGCATGTTGTTGAGAAGGTGCTGCCGTCCTAGCATTTGGTCCGAAGACTCCAGTGCGACGAGCTGGCTCACTTCTTCGACGTACTCCACCCAATAATTGACTTCGGTCTTGACCGTGTTGAACACAAAGTTTGTCATTGTTTTGCAAAGTACTAAATGAAAGAAATGATACAGCTACAAAGACTCCAAAACCTCAAAAATGCCTTCAATTGTTCGACTCTCTCTTGGGTGAATGGAGCTCCCTCGTAAGTCATTCCAAAGATTTCTTCTCCGGGATCTGAAAGTATTGCTGAATTTGTAACTTATTTAAAATCTAACTTGTCAATCCAGGAATCGTTTCTGTCAACTCTCGTAAACAGGCGAAAATGGCACGAGCAGCTGTTGTGTAGGTCATACCAGCATCCGCAATTCCCTAAAATTTAATACTCGAATATTCGTTATTAAAAGAAGTTTTCACCTTGCATCCATGCCGCAGCTTCATCATTCGAATTGTTTCTTCATCTCCATACAAACGACGAATGTTTTCCCAAGTAAAATTGATTTGCCGCCTCACCTAAATAAATGATACAATTAAAGTGTTAGACTGTAAAAGTTGCTTACATCAGAAATTTGAGCCTCTAGCGGATCATGTGGTCGGTCGCGACGTGAATTGAGCTGCTAAAATAAGGAAATTATAACAAAATATTTTAATTATTATATTTTTACCCATTCAAAAACAAAGTTTTACCTTTTGGAGTTTTGCTTCTTTCTCTTTCAAACGTTGATATTCTTTCTCGCTATCCTCCAATTCCTTTCCTCGTCCACAAAGGCCTCGAAGTTGCTAAAAATAAAAACTCCTTTTCAATTCAATGCCACTTTTCATTCATATTTAGTTAGATCCACACCCAAATCTTTAGCAATTATGAAAATAGACAATTCACATCAGAGCTCATAAAGAGGAGGGACATTGCCCCAGGTCACAAAAGACACATGTGGCAGTCACAAAGGACCGTAAAAGTATTTTGTTCTTTATCCACCAATAACTATGCGACTTTTGAAAAATCCCAATATTGTTTAGGCCCACATGAGAATCAAAGCTTACCCCAATAGCACGTTGATTTCGTAGAGCAAGTTCCATGGTGGCATCACTATGCATCTAAAAATACTACATTTAAAATTCTTAAAAAGCAAGCATACTTGTAAAACGGTAGAGGTCTTGGCTCCAACATCATTGATCGCACTATTTTGTGTCTTTTTTGCCCATTCAGCCAATTTGTTCCCACCGCTTCGTTCGCTCTCGGCTGCTTTTATTCGCAGCTCTCTTTAAAAAAACTTGTAAAAGTGTCAAGTAAAATTCAAACTCACTGAGCAAGTGTCAAATCTTTGAACGCATCGAGGAGCTTCGCATCCTTTGTTTTGCTTTCATCCGTTCGGAACAGGGCACCAAGTCGACTTGTTGACGCGACACGGCGAGGCTCGGTCACTATTGGTGGACTGGTTATGGCTGCTAAAAGAAAAAAAATTACTAAATAGTCAAAGTTAGCTCACTTTGAGTTGCTCCCACAGATCGCCGATGCATTTTACTCTTCCGATTTCGCGAAATAGATTTCACTACCCCTAAATCCAAAAACCATTAGCCAATTGCAAGATCGTTTAGTCGTAAATCAAAAAACGATGGTTGTGAACAATAAAATGATAGCAAGAAAGAATTCAGAATTCACACTAGAATTCACATTGCATGTTTTATATGCAAAAATGGAGAAATCGATAGCTCGATAAGTTCTTGAAGTTGATGCAGAGGTGCGAATTCGATTTGAAGTAACAGAGCACTATTTTTGAATCAAATATCTAGCTGTTCTTTTCGAGTATCAAATTGCAATGAACCAGGGTTGACCTCTTACAACACGGAAGAAACAACAGAGGAGAGAAGCTAGTTGATACAGTCACGAAAAGAGGTGGTTGATATGCCAATTTCAAAAAGTGAAGTAAAAATGGGTGGATTAAGCATTTGGTTTTTTCGAAAAGAAGCACAAAAGTGCTTGCGCAATTGTGAGAAAGACTTTTATTAGATTTGGTTAAGTAGTCATTTAGTGAATAGAATAGAAATGAACGAAGAGAATGAATAGAAAGACAATAGAATTACGGTGAAAAATAAGACAAATCCCTGAAAATTAAAATAATTGTATTCAGCTTGTCTGTGATTTGTATTTAGCACTAAGCGGTAAATGTCTGTAAATGTCTGTAAATGATCGTCGAAAAGTAATTTCTTTTTCTTCTTCCTCATTTAGAGAAAAGGCTCGTAAAAAAGGCAAAAGAAAAGAATCACGTTTTAAGCTGATTCATAAAAAGGCAAGAATTGTTATTCCTCTGGTCGGCGAGGAGCGCAAAAAAGGAGAATCATCTAACAAAGTGAATAGAATGCTAGAAAAGCGAAACTTTGTTGATTAGTAATAAAAGGGTACAGTTCCATTACATTCCTCCAAGTTAACATTAACAAAAGCTGATTTGAGGTGATAAAGTCTAGATTTGGAGGGATTAATAAACAAATTTGGGGATCTAACGGAAAAGTACTGTAAAATATAGATAGTGAAAATGGTTTGGTGGTACTTTCAAGTAGTAAACATCATGGATGATGGTGGGTACTTGAATATGCATGACTTTCAGCTGCAAAGAGAAGAAATCCCCTCTCTCAACCAATCCCAATACCAATATCCCTTTGATTCCCCATACAGGGTAAAAGATTCCAGTTTCAACGCATTACCAATTCAATCCCCGTCGATAGGATTATTGAAGGAATTCAATACTACAAAAGTCAACTCGCATCAATACTCCCAATATCCCTTGATATATGCAAGCGGAAATTGGTGTGCATATGTAAATGAACTTTTCTAAAGGTTGCCGCCCGGTGTTGCCCCACAAAAAACGGGAAAATTCCCACGATTGGCCGCATTGATAGGACGAAGGCAAGCATAAAAAAAGAGAGATAAAAAAGCAAAAAGCATGTAAACATTTTTTTCGATTGTTTACATTGATAAAAAGAATGGCGGTACCGCACAAAGCATTTCTCTCGCTTTTTTTCCTCGCATTTCCGTTGAAATGTGGAAAATGTGGAGAGAAGAGATCTCTATCAAAAGACTTCGAATTTCAAATTCGAGTCTAGAATTGAAAAAAATTCAAAGTAAATCTGAAATTCCCAGGTTTATCGCTTGATCACAAGTAACGGGTTTTCCAAAAAGTGTCAACTTTCAATAATTACCTTATTGGATATAACGATAGTTATCGTAATACGGAGTCAAAATCTATTGCAAGAATTGAAAGTCATCGAAATGTCATCAACTAAAAAATGACTCCTAATATCCAGAGTTCTTAACTTAATATAAATTTTTCAAAAAGAATGGAAGGCTAAAGGAAAAAGACAAAGAGAGTAAGAAGAGATTCAAAGAGAAGGAAGAGGGAAGGAGAAAGAGTGAAGGAGAGAGGGAAGGAAGAAAGAGGGAAGGAGAATAGCCTAAGGGCCACCTGCTGTCTCTGCCTGGTTGCGGCCAATTTGAACTGCTTTGACCGAACACACCCATTTGTGGGCGTTGGTTGTGTAGGGTAAGGGTTTAGAAAGGAAAGAGGGGAGGCTCTCAAATAGGGGATTGATGGGAGAACCCTCACAGTCAGTTCCTCTTCTTGGTCTTCCACACCCCCCGCCCACCAACCATTGAGACTTGACAAACACAGCTGTGAGACAGAGAGAGTCCGAGTCTCATTTTCTACTCATTGACAGTCTTGGGCAGCCGTGTTTGAATAATTATTGCCAATGATTTTTCCCTGAACAGCTCGCCAAGATACATAAATAGTTGGAACTTATTTGGGCTTGAGTCATGTCTATTATGTGAAAAAGCTATTCAAGGTCTAACTGCAATACTTGAATTTTATTTAGTGACTCAAGAGACAAAGCAGAGACAGCTGCTGCGAGAGTCAGAGCATAAGCTCAGAGTCAGAGTTGAAATTTCAGCTACAAAAGAGCTTTCTTTCAGGGTAAGTTCCAGCAATAGGAAACAATCAAAGAAAAGAAACGAATATGGACATGGATTTCTCATAGGGTGTACATATATGTAGCATTGGACACAAAAGAGAAATACTCTCTGGGGAGTGAAGGGGGATTCGACCCTTTTTGCACCCCAACACACAAAAGATCTTTTAGGCAATGGTGCATCGTATGCATAAAAAGGAAGGGAAATGAGTAAGAGATTTGAAGAGAAAAAGAGATGAAAAGGAGGAGAGGAAGGGGGTAGAAAGGAAAGGGGTGGATGAGGGAATCAACCAACCTCAAAGAAGTCTCAAAGGGCGGAGGAGAGGGTTGTCCTTCACTCACCAATTGAGGGTCAAAGGAGGGAAAGAAACCACAGGAGTACCCAGAAAATCGATTCACCCAACGAATAAATGAGGTCGACGGGGAGGGAAA